TTTTTTAGATTTAAATTGCCATAAATATGAGTTCAAATAAAAAGTTGAAGGTTAGTAGAAGTACTCGTTATCGTCGGCGACTAAATGCAGCTACCTTAGCTACAACAATGTTATGTGATTCTTCTGATGATGAGCCTTTAGCTACTCAATTATGTGATTTTACTGACGATGAACCAATTGATAATCAATTAAAAGCTATTGAACCATCATTAAATAATGAACTAATTTGTGAAGCAAATTTCAATCATTCTACAGATTATATTATACAGTCCGACGATACCAACAGAATTAATAGTAGTTTGATAAGTTCTCCTTCCTCTCAATGTCTTAATAGTTCTGACTCAGATAACAATTCTGATAACATTGATTTACCGTCATCACTTAGTCCAAGCCATGAACTATCTATTTGGGCTTTACATCATAATATAACCCATATGGCGCTTGGAGATTTATTAAAATTCTTAAGAAAACATACCAATTTAACAATGTTACCAAATGATCCACGAACTCTACTTAAAACACCTACAAAAACTCAAATAACTAAAATAGATGGTGGAGATTATCATCATTTTGGTTTAAAGAACGAAATTGAATTTTTATTGGAAGTTGAGCCACAATTAGTCCCATCACATTTATCTCTTGTAGTTGGAATTGATGGAATTGCCTTAACTTCTAATCCAACTACCCATTGTTGGCCAATATTAGGCTACTTTTCAAATATACCCTATAAGTACCGTAGTGTTTTTATTATTGGAGTATTTCTAGGTTTATCGAAACCTAAAAATTGTAATGAATTTTTAATGCAATTTGTAATTGAACTTAAAGAACTAATAAATACTGGAATCAGACTTAACGATAAATATATTACAGTAAATTTATATGCTTTAATATGTGATGCACCGGCAAAATCTTTTATTTTAAACTTTAAAGGCCATAATGGAAAAAATTCTTGTTTACGCTGTTTGTGCATTGGAGAACGAAAAGATAGCCGAACATATTTTAGTAATAAAGATGCTCCATTACGCACACACGCTAGTTTTATTACATATACAGATTGTGAATTTCATATTGGTAAAACTATAATTGATGAAATTCCACATTTTGACATTATTCTATCAACACCTTATGATTACATGCATTTGATTTGCATTGGAGTAGTAAAAAAATTAATGATGTATTGGATAGTTTCTAAGAATAAGCACCCTATAGCATTACCTCCCAATTTAATAAATGCATTAGAAATTAAACTTAATTTACTAGTAAAGTATATACCTGAAGAATTCCAAAGAAAATCAAATGAAAATTCTCGACAACATCCTTTAAGAGATGTTCAACGGTGGAAAGCAACTGAACTAAGGCAATTCCTTTTATATACAAGTTATGTTGTTTTACCAAATTTAGTGAGTTCAGAAATATGTAATAACTTTATGTCTTTATCAGTTGCAATAAGAATTCTTTTAACTCCATGTAGCTGTAATGAATACATCAATTATGCTGATAAGTTACTTCGACATTTTGTAGATTCATTTATACATCTTTATGGTATACAATATGTATCACATAATATTCATGCTACAATACATCAAGCAGATGATACAAAACGATTTGGATCCTTAGAAAACATCTCAGCATTTACATTTGAAAATTTCATGCAAGTATTAAAGAAAGATGTTCGCAGTGGACATAAAGTCTTACAACAATTAGTACATAGATATTCTGAACGTAGAGCATTACAATTCAAACGTTTTAAACAATGTTCAGACATAGAAGGTCCACTAAAAACATTTTGTAAGAATACAAATAGATCACTTGTACCAGGAGTTAGTAGTCCTCAATACTCAGGGTGGAAAACTACTAATTTTAAAATAAAACTTAACGAAGCTGATAATTGTGTTAAATTAAAAAATGGTAAAATTATCCTTATTGAAAATATTGCAACTTCTAGTACTACTAATGAAGTTGTAATTATAGGACGTTCATACGAAAAACTTGAAGATTTATTTTTAACTCCATGTAATTCATCACTAATTGATATTTTTAAATGTTCAGTACTCGGGCACCTTAATTATTGGCCAATCAACAATATCAAAGAAAAACTTGTTCGTCTACCATTAGATGATCAAAAATATGTCATTATACCATTTATTCATTTATTTGCATGAAACATAAAATGTATATTTATTTTGTACATATATTGTAATTGTATATATATTAAAATATCAATGTATCATATTTATTATAATTGTATATAAACATTTAAGGTCCTGGATTGTAGTTTTATTCAAAGATACTAATACAGTTCAGCATGTACCATATACTTGGTATTCATTACAAAATGAAAATACCGAACGATGCTGGTTCCCATTTTCAAAAAGTGAAGCAGCTAAGACATCTGTCAGTTTTAGTAGTCAACAGATCTACAAAATGATTTTGAAATGCTCTGCACCAAATAATATTGATGGTTGTTGGTATAATGTAAAAGAAGTTGCTGGGCCATTTGGTAATTACTTATTGTTAATATTTAGTATATTTTAAAAAATCATTGTATATTTTCTGGTATTAAATTAATAGGTACTATTAGGGCCGATTTCACCAACACAGTTAATCACGGTTAACGCTTAATCGGCTGATAACAGATATTTAACCGGCCAAATTCGGCGGTTAACTTTAATTGTGATTAACTGCGTTGGTGAAATCGGCCCTTAATGTTATTTATACAATTTGTAGATTCTGAATTAGTTGCTAGAAATGCATCTAAATATTGGTCAGGTATGAGTGAAAGTGATAATGATACTAGAAGGCATGGAATTGTGGAAAATAAAGTTCGGATTCGAAAAAAACCTAAACGATATGCTTCTGAACGCATTTCAAATATTCACAGTATACATTCAACAAATTCTACTGAATCATCATACACAAATATTCCTTGTCTACCAACTCCTCCTAATAAAAAAATGAATAAACCTATACCAAAAGGAAATATTGTAAGTAGAATATCTTATAATTAAGATCTAATATATATTTTACTTTATAAATTAGGCTAATTCCAACATCAAAAAATCTTCCAATTATGGTGGTGAATATTCAGGTGATTACAGCAGTGAACCAATGTCACAAATCACTACTGAAAAATCTGTAAGTTTGTTAATTAAATTGTATTTATTATTTTTGTAATTCATTTTTGAATCATATTTTAGTTTCATACACTCCAGAAACCAGTAGGTACTATAAAATGTAATAAAACAGATTCTTCATATTCTAATAATTATGAACATTCACAGAGCATAAATAATAATGTTGTAAGTTATTGTCCATACATTTATTGAAATACCTAGTACTACTAATTATATTTTAGACACATGAAGTCCAAAAGCCATATTTTAATCATACAAAATTTAATGAAAATGTTGAATATTCCTCGGATTATTGGCAATATTCTACAAATTACGAGTTTCCAAAAAATAATAGTGATTATGACACTGTAAGTTAAAAATAAATATGTTATAACATATGTATATTGTTATTATGAGTACCTACTAATGTATTGGAAACAATTAATATGTAATAGTCAAATGAAACACAAGAAAAATCACAGAATACTGAAAACTTCAATAAAAGTATTGTAAATTCTACATCCACTGAATATTCTACGAATAATTATGAATTTCAAAAAAATAATACTGATGATATTGTAAGTTAGATATAATATGCTCATATACCTATGCATGTATAATTGTATATTATTGTTATGAGTACTAATGTATTGGAAATAATTTAATTTGTAATAATAGTTAAATGAAGTGCAAGAACAATCACAGAATACTGAAAAATTCAATAAAAGTATTGTAAATTCTACATCCACTGAATATTCTACAAATAATTACGAGTTTCAAAAAAATAATACTGATGATATTGTAAGTTAAATATAATATGTTTATATACACAAGTATATTGTTATTATGAGTACTAATGTATTGGAAACAATTTAATTTGTAATAATAGTTAAATGAAGTGCAAAAACAATCGCAGAATACTGAAAAATTCAATAAAAGTATTTTAAATTCCGCATCCACTGAATATTCTACAAATAATTACGAGTTTCCACAGAATAATACTGATGACAATGTAAATTAAACTTCAACAAAATTTTTGAATTACTATTGCACTGTAATTTCATAATGTTAGTTACAGGTGGTTCATGAACAGTTGAATGTTGAAACTACATTTATTGAAAACATTGCAATAAATTCCTCATGTTCTTCTGAGTATTCCTCAAATGACGATGAGCTTCCTCAAAATAAGAGTGGTGTTATGGTAAGTTTTTAAAATATGTTTAATTCAAACTAACTTCAGGTACTATAAATACTTAATAATTTTAGTCCTGAAACAGTTAAGTGCAAAAAAATCAAATGAAAGTATTAATTTTTTAATTTTTTAGACATGCAAAGTTCAAGAACCATTAAGTGTTAAAAATTCCAGCTGCAATATAATAAATTCAAGTATTCAGTCTGATATTACCTATGATGAATTATTTCATAACAATAAACCTAATATTGTAAGTAATACTTGGAATGATTTATTTTAATTACTTATTAATTCAAAATATTATATATGTTATATTAGTTACAAGAAGAAGAACAAGATCAATACAATTATTTAAAACTAAATCACCGAGCAAGTCAAACCCAAACGACATCACACAAAAACTGTTCAGGTTAGGTTCAGTTAAAATAATTATGTTTTACAGTTAAAAATAAAATATTCTTATCAATAATTGTTGATTGAAATCAATAGGTACAAAAATCTTATTTATAATTTATAATCTTATTGTATTAATTGTTTTAGATACCAATAAAGATTGCTGTTGTAACACTTTAAGACATTCAATAAAAAAAAAAGAAGAAGCAATACTTACACAGATTTTACTATGCAATACTAATCAAACCAAAATATGTACATATTTAGAAAATCTAGACAAAAAAATAAACAAACTTCTTGAGATGGATAATCGATCTAATTCTGCGTTTCCTCAACCAAAATTACCAGCATCATTTGTTGATTTATTGCCAATAAACTCAAACGAAACATTATATGCTGTAGAAAGTCTGTTACAAGTTGAAGGTTGCATTAAAAATAAAGAAGAATTGGTAAGTTATTATATAATAATAATATGATTTCTTTATTAGAACTGATAAATATTGGGTTACTTTGTCAGTTAATAATATTATTATTTTGTTTAATGCAGAAGACCTTTTTATTACTAAAAATTGGCAACAGACATAATTCATTAAACAGTGCAGTTACTGCTATTTTCGACTTATGTTTTGAAAGATCTTATGCATCCATCTTCAGCTTTCACGGAAAAACTAAAAAATCATTCAAAACTCTTGGAATATTTCAAGTTATGCAAGGTATACTAGTTTCTAATTAATAGATGTATTAAATAATTTTTATTTTATCAAAACTAAATTAAAATAAGTATTAAATATAATCAATACCAAACTTGTATGCTTCTTTTAATTTGGTTAATAATAGAATAACATCCATACATTTAATTTAATTTAATATTTATAATATGTTGAATGTTGATATTAAATATCAAAATGATAACAAAATAATATTATAATTAATATTTTATTGTATATAATTACAACTTTTATTTATTATTTCAGATACCCTTTCTGGTCGTGTAAACTCACCCCAAGACACTGATACAATTACAAAAGTCATTATCAATATACTAAAACATGCAAAAAAGTAATTTTTTTATGGTTTTCATACTTGTAATTATTTTTTACTTATACTTATATGTATACTCAATATTATGTTTAAGGTCAAACACAAAGCTTAAAAAATTGTATTATTTTTACCTGTTATATATTTAAACTCATTAATATTACTATATTATATAGTATTATATTTTTTATAGTAAACTTAAGTGTTAAGAAGTACCTAACTTCAATTAAAATTGTATTCTATATTTTAAATATTTAAATAATAATAATTTGTATTGTTTTTATTTATCAATGTAAGTACCTACTTAAAAAGTATACTTATTTTTTTTTCAACTATATCTAATTGTTGATAAATAAATCAACTTAACAATATTATGTTTAAGGTCAAACACAAAGTTTAAAAAATTGTATTATTTTTACCTGTTATATATTAAAACTCATTAATATTACTATATATTATATACTATTATATTTTTTATAGTAAACTTAAGTGTTAAGAAGTACCTAAATTCAATTAAAATTGAATTCTATATTTTAAGTATTTAAATAACAATAATTTGTATTGTTTTTATTTATTAATAAAAGTATACTTATTTTTTTAACCATATCTAATTAAAATGTATTAAAATGTTTAAGATCAAATACAAAGTTTAATGAATTGTATTATGTGTTTTATTTTTATTTTAAACTCTTCAATTCTACAATAGTATTATGTGTTTTATTTTTATTTTAAACTCTTCAATTCTACAATAGTATTATATTTTGACTAGGTAGTAATAAACTTGAGAAATAAATTCAATTAAAATTTATTACATTTTAAATTGTATGTATGTTGAGCTTTTATATCTATTTGGTAGTGCCTACAAAATTATAGGTTTTGTTTTAAACCACGGAACCTAGAATGCACGGTTTTTAGTTAAACTTATGCACCCATAGTGCATGCGGGTTTTAAGTTTTGATCTAAACTGTTGAACCAATATAACACGGTGTACGATTAAACTTTTTAACCCGCATAGCCTTAATATAATAATATAATAGAGGTTTTGAAAAAAACCCATGCACGGTCCATACACTTATGGTAAACTTTGATTGCACTCGGTTCAATGTATGTAAAATTTTGTATTCAAAAACGCTGAAAGTCGGTGTCATGAACCTATTTTCGACCGAGTTTAGCACTGTGGCTTTAATATAAATTGAACCTTCTGAGCACCCAAATTGCTACTCGGGACTACGACTTCTGAATAACCCACAACTGATGATGCACAATATAAATTTAAAAAAATATATTATTGAACTAAGAGTAACAATAATGATAAACAACACATTAGGATTTAGGACCATTACTAATATATATATCTGTCCACCAAAATATAATATAAAATGATGCAGATGTATATACTTTTGAAAACAAAATCAAACTGGATAATGCTTTCAGAGAATCCTTAGAAAATATAGCATCTTTAAAAACTATATTTTGTAAGCTTAAAAAAAAATCTTTTAAATTCTTTAGGTTCTTGAAGTATTTAAATAAAGGTGGTATCAAACATTTAAAAATTAGTATTAAGATATAAAAATAGATTTCAATTTTAAATTAAGAATTACTAATAATGAAAATCACAATAATAGTACCAATATAATAAACTCCAATACTATATTGTAGTCTTGATGGAGGAAATAAAATTATTTACAATGTGTACTATAAATTTTATTTTATCTGTTTAGTGCGTACAATATAAATTGGTATCTAATATAAATTAAATTTGATCTGTTCAAAAGAATTTATAAATACAAATTATGAAATAATGTATTATAAAATATAATTAAATTAAAATATAATATGGTTATAACATTTTTTCAGAGCAATTAAAACGAACACTAGTATCCAAACATTTCCGGAAAAAGATATTGACAACTTCCTTGGAGTATAGCTTTCCCATGCTCGAGTTCGTCTTAAAAAAAAACAACCCGATAACTAACTAACCCAATGAATTGTGAAAATTATTTGTATTAAAAAATAATAAACAAAAATGGCATATAATTAAATTTATAGCTAATTTTTTAATGTAATATTTATTCTTTATATTTCCTTGTTCTTTTGAAAATGTTTTCTGAATATGAGTAAATTATAAAATATACAACATTCCTTAGTGTTTTTGTGGAAGTGTGTAAGTGCAATATTTTAAAAATGTTATGAAACAACATTATAGAAACATCATTTTTTTACAGCTCTAATTTTGTCAAAATTGTATTAATTTATTATAATATTAATGAATCTTTAAATAATATTATGGTAATGTTCTTTATAATATTATTACTAAAATTATAACATTGTTTGAGTATGATGGTAACATAATTTGGCTGTCTGGGTTGGAGACACATTCTATTATCGTAGTGTACCCGGCGCAAATACAGTTATTCATTATAAAATACGCAAGCAATTCAAATAGGTACGCAATATCAAAAACAGTTATTCATATTATTTATATTTGCAAAAATACAATCGTAATCAAATGTTTTAAGTTATAACACGTCATATTAATAGAGTGAAATATTTTTAGTGATTCAACGTAAAAACTATACAATTTGGAAGTACAATTATTACTATGTAATTATAAGCCATAAAGAACGATTCGATACGATTATAAATATAAAGTTGTATTATGAACATTATCATTGGATTTATGGTTTATATATAAACCTGAACTTGGAACTAAAACATAATTTTAAATGGCTATACGTCCACTTGCCTTACACTTGCCTTAGATCAAATTATCTCAGTACTTACCATGTTTAAACGATAAGAAATTTGAGGACTGAAATAATATACAAACACAGTTTTTTTATGAGAAACACTTTTATTTACTTAAAAAATCATAGGCAATAGTAGTAAATTCGGAATACATCAACCAAATCAACCCTTATCTACTGGCGAAAGCTTCTAAATTTTATTTAATAAAGATTAATAACATTTTCCAAAAAAAAAAAATGATTTTTATTAAAACGCCAATATCGTTGCAATGTTCATATTATTTTTATATAATTATGAATTTATATTTAAGTACAAATATTATAGATAAGGTTGAGAGCACTGAGCACATATTTTAAAATATTGTAATATTTACCCTGTTTATAACTATAAAGTATGAACTATACACATGCGTATTATGTAAGTATAAAATATTAAAATTTCATTGATGAGGAGTATACAAAAACAATTGAGAACTTTGATAATGGTGATTAAAAAAAATAAAATTTGAAAAACTACACCCTCATCCTGACATACTTATTTATTGACAATAGATTGATTGAAAAATGGAGTATCTTAAAATGCGACTTTAAGCATGTAGAATAAAAAATAGTACTAACGATTGCGTAAGATTGACATTTTAACTATGTACCTATATTGTAATATGATAGTATTATACAGGTTTCTTTCACAATAATTTTTTAACTTAAAAAACATCAATATAAAGTAAAAACAACAGTTCGCTACTAAAGTAGAACAGGTCTGAATCCAAAAATAGAAATATGTAAACTATAAAAAACGAATCAAAATGATCGAATAAAATGTCAACCTCGTTTGATAAAATAGCTTATACCTACGTATACGTGTATCATATGTAATATTATGATATTAAATACGCGTTTGTGAGGTTTGCATTCATTGCAAAAAATAGTTATTCGTTTTAAACGATGTCCGATAAAAACATTTAATAAGTTTAAGTTACACATCATTAAAAATATATTTTAAAAAAAGAATTAAAAAGAAAAAGGACATTCTTGTTTTTTTTTAAATATATAATTGTATAATTATACGTAAATTAAATATGTCAGGAATGTTATTGATTTTGGTAGGAGTGAACACATCGTATAGTACAATATACTATCCTTTCATATGCATTATTACTGAACTGTTGTCCCCATATTTGATGACAATAATGAAATATCTATATGCGGTAAGTTATGTAAAAAATTGGGAATAAAAAAAAAAAACAATTCGGCGACGTAAAATTAGAGAATCAAGTCGGTGGTGGTCCGTTTAAGTACACGAGCCCGAGCTCGAAAGACCACTTGTACTTGTTGTTCTGTGGGTCACAGACCTCACTGCACTGTGGTTCCAGCCAGTCAACCGACAACAAGATAATGACAATCATGTAGAATATGCCAGTGATCCATTTCATGCGTCTGAAACGAGCGTTGCTATTGTGAGACGTTTCCAAGATAGTTTCCTCCTGCTCTACGACGTCCTCGTCGACACTGCAAAGGACCAAACACAAGAGTATAGTGACATTATTGACGTCTTAAAACTCGTACGGTACGGTATATATTATTAGGTACTGCAGCAGAATTGAGAGTAGAGATAGAACTATTTTAGGAGCGGGGGGGGGGGCTGTATATTCGTTCATAAGTTAAAATATCAAAAAAGGTTATTTATTATATATATTATATAATACACCAACAATTAAAATATGCAGTATGAAAAACAGTTATTAGTTTACAGTGGCACCGAAATCTCACAAGAAAACCGCCTAGTCAACTAGGTACCACTATTATATGGGTAGCCAAGTAAATATCGGCTTGGCGAAGCTGCAGGCTTTTTATTTCTGTTAATTTTACACAGTGCACCCAAAAATACGTCGTATTGTGTTGTATAGTACTTGTTGAATTTCCTTGCTTGAGCAACACCTATTCAATAGCTTTTAATTTCATCATTATAGACTAAATTATACAAGCTCATACAAAATTAAAAACGACTAATTAAACGTGTAGGTAAGTAGTACGTACTAAGTACACGAAATAAGATATTATGAAAACGTGGCAAATGCAACACAGTGGCTGTATACATCGAATCAACCTGGTTGTACATAGTAGGTACTTTTATTTATGAGTGGCATCTTAAATGTTAAATTTCTAACACGATATCCCTATTGTAACAATATATTTTAATTTAATTTTAAAATTTTGAGTTTTAATATTTTGCTTTTCGTGGTTATTTAGTGTAATAATGTTTTAATAAAATTAAAAATAAATTAGTAGAATTCAAATTAAAGTAACTTTATCCCAAAAATTAACCAAGTTCATCCAATAGTTATATAATTTATTTTTTTTTAAAAAATCAAAAATAGTTGTAGCCTATTGTTGTCATTTAGAGAGAGAAAAAAAATAGATTTTAGCTAACGAAGCATCGAAAAAAAAGATATTAATATCAAATGGATAAAGAGGTGATGTCCACAATCCCCATGGTATTTATTTGAGTAGGAAGTTTTACAAACATAGCTACAAGGTACAACGTAAGAAGAAATTTAAGTTCAACAAAATCCATGTTGTTAAATTTAATATTGCAATAAATCGACAAACTATCAAATTTAAAGTCAAGAATACCATGACGTTTTCTCTCATCGATTTTTTTTAATACTTTCATTTTAAAGCAATTTAAGACAATTAAGATTCTGAGAGAAGCGATAAATGTATGTATAGACTTCACAATAACATTTTTATTGTGTATGTGTTATATATTTGTACTCATCGTATAGTAGAAAAAATGTTTTGATTTTCAATTCTGATATATTGTCTTTTAAGAAAGTGAATCTAGCGGGTAATTTTGAGAAATTAAATATTCCAAGTGGATACTTCTAAAAATAATCAGGAAGAATAAAAAATATATAATTAAAGGGCATTTTGGTTAAAAGGCTTTGAAAAAATTATTATTTTTATTTTGTTGTAATTCAAAATCGAATAAAATCGTACATACTTGAAATGTTCACTAAATTTTAATATTAAAATGTTCTATACATGTTGGTTGTTATAATTTTCAAAATATTTTGATATTCCCTATTTATTTTTAGTTTTCATTTAGACGAATTGATGATAAAAATATTTGCTCAATAAATTCAATAGTGTTTTATATTCATTCTAAGACGTTGAATTTTGAACATGATTAACTATTTAAATTATAAGAAAAGTAATTTTAGTTATTTTGCATAAATTCAAAAATATTTTCTATGGTGGTGGGGTTACCACTTGTGACTCCTAAGTATATTATTTACTTTTATTTCCTATAAATTATATTAACAAAAACTTAGACTAATGTTATGCCTTATGTTATTGTGTATTTGTAACACAAATCGTTTCACATTCTTCTTCAGTAAGTTGATATAAATATTTAATTATACATACATGTACATAACAAAATACTTTATTAGTATTTGAATACATAATTATAGTACACAATCACAAATGCTAGCTTTAAATATAAACTTTTTTCAAACTTCAAATAGTCAGCATTTTATGACGTATGCATGCACATACGTAATGATTTATTTATGGTTAAATGGAAAAGCAATACATTTTCATATGAATATTACTTAGAGTAACTAGATGTTACATGACATAAATATATATATTTTTAGCTATTGAGGCATGTTTTTATTATCTATCCTGAAATATCTTAAAATATCTATATGAACTTTATGCCCACTATTGGCCCCTGTAGGCTTATAAATAATATAAATAAATAAATAAATAAAGAAAATAATATTAATGAAGTGAAAATTAATGCAAAGTAAATAAGTTTTTTGGAATGTCCAAAAGTCTTCCTATTCTACTGTAATATTTTTAGGTATAAAATATTAGTTATTTAAATAAAAAAATGTTATAATAATCAGTTAAAAAATGAATCATTTAGAACCATTAGTTAAACTAAACATTGAAACATATGAACAATATTTAAAAATTTATTATATTCCCGAGAATATTCCTGGAGAAATTTTAACATTAAACTTGCATTAGAAATTATGCAAGTTGTAAATAAACGATAAATAAATTTAGTAAAATTATCCTGGCAGAAAATTATGGTTTACTTCCAACTATGAGTTTAAATCTCTCCATTCAACATTATTGGAAATGAGAATAGAAAGCGCTTTAAAAAAGTCTGATGCTAGTGCTATCTACTATATATACAAACTAGATATTCCATTTCTATCAGTTAGTAAAAGAAAAATGTGATATTGATAGGGCAATATCAATACACAATTAAAAGAATGAATAAATAAAAGACCAAGAATTAGAAATGTTAAGTTTTTATCGAATGATAGACGTGATAGTTTAAAATATTGATGAGTGATTTAGCTAGGAAACTATGCTAACTCGTGCAGTTCATATTATGTTATTACATCTAGACATAACACTAACTGATCTCAGTTTAATCCCCAAAACTTATCAATGTGGTAGTGAATATCTTGAAACAGCCAAATTAAGCTATTAAACAATAATGAGACGGCTTTCAATGAAAAAAACAAAAACAACAAAAATAAACTCCATACTTTTTGGTTTTGTAAAAATAAATTAAAAATTAAATCTGATAAAATCAAAATATATTTGTTTTGAACTGCAAGCATCGAATTGCTTGGTAAAAAATAACCTTATTGTTCATTTGTTAAAATCTAATTATAAGATTATTGCAACGTGTACATCTAAATGTATTATACTTGAAAAGGTAAATGAAATAAAATATTTTGGTATAATTGTTGATTTAACTATAGATTTAAATAGGAAAGTCATATTAATTATATTAATAATACTTTACGTAAATTCTTCTACTTCTTTAAAGAAGCTAGACACTTATTTAATAATTATTATAAAAGAATGATTTTTCTAGCATTAGTTCAATCAATTTATTCTTATGGTATATCCGTTTGAGGGGGAGCTGCAAAAAATGTTTTATCTAGACTTATAGTTACTGTTAATTACATTATCAAATTTTTACTAAATCTTCCCATGACAACTAGTACATCATTGATTTATAAGGTAATTAAGTTATTTTTATTTTTATTTTATGACAAACTAGCATAATAAATATTTTAATATTGTCTAAAAGTGTACAGTACTTCCTGTAATTCCCCAGAGGGTAGTGAGATGGACCAAAGTCTAACAAGTGTTTGTGTTTAATATTTAATTCTGCATGACTTGAACACAACGTCTGGTACCACTTATAGACACATCACAGTTGTATTATATTCATGACTTTATGATAGAATAAACTTACATAATATCGGTGTTAAAGAGATTTTCAGTTTCCAATTGGTCATCATCATTGCAAAATTCGGATCTTCTCTCTGAATCTGAATTTGAAATGACACTTTCAGAATCTGAATTTGATATGGCACTTCCGGAGTCCAAATTTGATAAGGCACTTTCAGAATCTGAATTTGACATGTCACTTTCAGAATCTGATCCAGAATAATCAGAATTTTGGTTTTCATCCAAACCTTCAAATTTCATCCCAAGGTTCATTAGCAGTTTGTCACCCAAAGACCATGTGATCAATAAATTTTGGTATCCTAATTTCACTCTTTCTAATCTGTAACCATGAACACAAATGTAAATATAATTGTATATAACATGAGCCAAACCATAAAATATTAGTTTTCATTCGAATATTGATGTAATGACTACTAATTATGTTATACTACACTGTCTATAAAATTATTTTACTTTAATTTCATCTATTTCATATCGGAAAATATGATCAGTTATAAGCTGTTATCAAGTACACTAACAACTAAGTATTGCCAATTGGACTTAAAAAATATATACAGAATTTAAGAAAAATATCCAGATCCTTCGGAAATAGATTAAGTAATTAATTTATATTGACTGAGAAACTTTTCATGAAAAAATTTAATTCACAGTTTATAAAAGTAAATATATTTAAAATAGTTTTAGTCAAAAATAAATATATTAATTAATTAATATATGGGTACCTATTATATTATTATTATATATATTTATATACAAATTAATAGATCTGTTATTTATAAATATATATTATGTTATTATATTATTGTATTATTATTTTAGTAAATTTTATTATAACACATTTTAATTTATATTAATAATACATACGGCAACTCATGATACTAAAAATGAATAGTACATTTTAACATATATAAGGACAAAAATAAATAAATCACAACAGATTAGATCTCAAAAATGTTAAATAAAAATGTATTAATGGTTTGATAAAAATTGCACGTAGATCTATGGAATTCTTAATACGTTCTTTAATAAAACACATTTTATCGAAAATAATGACAATCTTTACTACTAAAATTTATGAAATGAGTATAAAACCATCGAATAGGGTGACAATAAAATTAGGTTAGTTCTCCGATGGTATGTGAAGCTAAATTAATTGCAATTGCCAGTCAAAGATATAATTGGATTACTTGGGCCACAAAAACTGACAGTGAAAATTTAGATGTGAAGATTATATATTTCTTTTAAATCGAGATATGCATTTGAATAAAACAAATCATCGGAATAAATCCTTGGAATTTAAAATATAGAGTTTTTTTAGTTTTTAGTTTTACAAAAAATAATAAAAACTACTCATTTTATTTTGTTTTATATTTTTAAACATAAAATCTTTGGTGTCTTATCATATTTGGTACACTTGCCTCTGCTTAATATTAGCATACATAGAATGCAGTTCTGCAATATCCTTCGACATACTTTCTGAATTGTTCAACTCAATATTTATTTGTCTGTTTAACTCCACGGTCATCTTTAAGTGATTATTCCAATAAATATCCAAATCTAATAATTTAATCTAAAGATATACATTAAAAACATGTCAACCACATATTATTATTTGCAATATTGTTATAATGTAAAATAGTAGATACCTATATTAATTAATCACATACCTCGGCAATATCGATGAAAGCTTGGAGCTCGTTTTTGTTTTGTACATTATTGCCACACAGTCGAAAAATTAATAAAAATGACATTAAATCTCTTTTGATTATAGATATGTCGATCTTTATAAATTTTAATTTATCCTGTTTTAAAACACTATCAATTATATGTGAAGGTGTGCAATAGGCTGGCATACCTGACAAGAATCACGATTATATGATTAGTATAAAGTTAACAATGAAATAGTGTTAAACAGTAATTATAATAATATAAAAATAGTAGGGTTGGCATAAAAAAATCTAACACGGAATAACCAGGGCTGTTATTGTGGTGAAATTCAATCAACATTTTTTTTAACTTGTGTTATTTTTTACTTTTTTAGAAATATTTAACCTTACATTATTTATTTTTCCACCTAAACTCTGATAAGAAAAAAATGTTACTATTATTATTATTTTCTTTATAGGTAGGTATCTAATAGAATAAAATGAAAAAAAATCACACTTTAATTGTCAATAGAAATTTGAACAGTTTTGTTAATTTAATAAGGCAATTTCGAGTAAATACTTAATAAATAAACAAACACAAAAAAAAAAAAATATTATAAAATTATAAAATTATAAAATTTAAAGAAACACTAGTTACTTCTATAATGTCTCCTGGCTGTATAATTTATAAAAACACAACATTATTTGTATAGGTAGTCTATAGCTAGTATAGTAGATTGTGGTAATAAAAATATTCCTAACAAAAATCAACAATTAACAAACATTTGGGAATAGCTGATTATAGTCGATAGTTTTTTTTATGAACTACCAGTTTTTGCCATCCCTACCTTACACACATGTTTTTTACCTTCTCTGTCGAACATGAGATGCACAGTTGGATACATTAGAATAAAGGGGGATCTTTGCATTTTCCCCACATTACAAGTAATTTTATCCCTATATTTTATGACGTCAAATGCCTGGTCGTCATAGATATTCTGAAATTGTTTGGCTTCTTGCACAAAATATGCTTTTTCGGGGCAAGCTGGTGCAATAGCTTCGTAAAAACGCCTGATATATGGATCGATTAATTGAAGTTCCCGTTTTACATCGTTCTTTATCGGCTGGAAAATCTTGTCCAGGCCATAGTCTTCCATAGTGGAAGAATCCACTTCAGCCTCAATTGTGTTCAATTCCGGTTGCTCTGAGTCGAACAACGACGCATTTGAATTGAACGTGCCATTTTCGTTGTACGGCAAGCTGCCCATGTGGAATTATTATCGTATTAATGTATTATTTATATTTAATAACTTCACAGTATGGTGTTTCTTTTTTTTATGAGTCTGATACCGTGGACCGTGGAGTAAATATAACTGAATACCGAACACCCAAAAAATATGTTTTCTTGCAGTTCTAAGCAAGCGTATTCTGGGTTATTTTTTAATCATCAGCACAACGTAAACCAGTAAATTTACACTTCTCTGCAAAACACATTAGTACATTATAATTTTTTTCTAGGTGTTATGGAAACGCGTGCATTTTTATAAGATAGTAGGTTCGTTTTGCATTTTTTATAGTCAAAGACGCATTTTGTGGGTGCTTGTGTGTGTTATCACCCTCAAATTTTTAATAGCATCATCAAATTTGAATTTGTTATAATATTATATCATAGGTTTTATAATAAAATTATTACTAAGACATGATTTTCATTTTAATAATAATAATAATAATAGTACATTTATTTCATTATAGGTACCTAATTTTTTATATAAACGCCTAGCAAACATTTTATTTTCAAGGAAATGTGTTGAGGCAATTATTTTGTTCATCATACCTATATATATTATATTATATTGTAGTAACTAAATTATCATTATTGTGTATATTTTACTCCTCACTAATCACCAGTACATCATACACATTACTCATTGTCACTCACATTTCATGTACCTAACCATTACATCAGAACATTCCAAATAAATGTATGGACTTGAAATAGCTATACGCCTTACAAAATTGTAAGTACTTCCAATAAACTGATTAAAAAATGTAATGTAATGTTTGAACGCATAAACAATACATGAATATGCATTGATCGGAGTACTTTCCAATTTTGGAAAAATCAAGACACTATTAAAGATGTTGAATGTATGCTCTAAAATATGTTACCTAAACTTTTTTACCAAATCAAAAGTTTTAAATTTTAAATTCTGAGCGGAGCTATGAATTTATTGATTTTACAATGATGTGTGTTTTCATATTTATTTATTTATTTTTATTTTTTGTGTCTGTCATCACGATTTTTTGTAGTAAAAGTGCTTCGATTTTCTTCAATAGCCCCAATTCTGGTAGGAAAGTGAATATTTTTGATGGACTCGAAAGGTCAAAATTTAAAGTTCAAAATAGTTCTCAAAAGCAACAGTTGATCTATTTGTAGGCTTATACAATTTTCGATTATTATTTGTTTTTTTAAACTAATATCAATAAAAAAAAAATGTTCACTATGTCAAAAATCTTGTAAATATAATACAAGGTTCTTTGTATAAGTTGTTGTTAGTGCAAATTTAAAAAAAAGTTGAGCGTAAATCCATAATAATTTTTTATGAGCGTTTACAATTAGAATTTTTACAAAATTCGTAAAAATCACGAAAAATAGCAAATTATATTTAGTTAGAAATTCATAAAAAAATTTCTTTTTATATGTAAGATTTAAAAATTTACTACAAGATTCCTTACAAGTTTGTCTACCTTTATCAAAAAAAAAATTTCTACCGAAAAGTCAAATTAAATTTTTATGACCGTTTGATGTTGAAATTTTTACGACATTGGATATTCACTCGATTTCCTTGAAGCGATTTTCTTATTTTGTTGTAAATCAAAAACGAAAAATTACAGATACTTGAAATTTACACAATATGTCTATATCATTAATTTATGTACTTGATACACTTTTCAAAATATTTGTACTCGTTTTAATTTGTTGACGGACACTTTAAATTTTCATTTTTTTTTCTACAAATGTCAATAAAATTGTATCGATTGTGCCAAAAAGCATGACAATTTAATACAAGACTCTTGATATATTACTACAATAGCAATTGAAAAATATTAAAAATACATAAGCACGATTTTTTTTTATAAGTATTTAAAGTTTAAATGTTGACAATATATTTTATCAAATTGAAAATTGAAAATGATTTTGTAGTTAAAAATGCATAACATTTTTAATTTTTATGGCTTAGGATTGAAAATTTAAAACAAGTTTTCATTTGAGCAGTTTTTTCTGTAACTAAATAAATTAAAAAAATTATAAATACAGTTATTTTTCACAAAAATTGTAAGTTCAAATTTAGGCAAAATTGCATATTAACGCAAAGAATAACGTTTATCATTTTGTTGTAAATCGGTTCCAAAAAAAGCCCAATTTGACATAGGTATTTTTAATATTTTTCCAGCATCATTGATAATTTAAGAATAATATTAATTCAACTTAACGGATACCATATTAATATATTAATAAAAAGCAATAACAATATAAAATATCCTAGACTGACATACCGTCTCCGCTCAGAATGGTTTTTCGTATACCATGATATGATATCATTAAATTCAAATTTAATACCATCCATTATAGGGACCTCTTTGTAGTGTCGGCGCCAGGGGAGCATGGGCGGGCCACGGCCCCCCATAAATTTGTCTTGGCCACCCCTTGACCCCACTTGACCGCTTAACCACAAGAAAAAAAATTCTTTAAAAGAACAGAATACCTATTATAAAATTTAAATTCTATATTTTTCTAAGACTATATGGCAACATTTTTTTTTTGCCGAATAAATTACGAATAATTTTTTGAATTATGAATAATTATGATCATGATCCTCACAATTCACAAAATGATGTTATTAAATCGAAATGTCAAAAAATTGTGGTCATAAATTATTATTATTATTATTATTGTTATTATTATTATTATTATAAGACCGTACGATTCCCGTTAGCTATAATAGCCACAAGCGGTGCCTGTCTGTCGCACAATGTCAACGATTTATTGACAATGAGTATTATTATTTTTATCTACACTTTACCTTTACATCTTACAGTGCATAATATTGTTTAACCAGTTTAATGTCATTTGTACCATGTTGAATATGAAAAACAGGAAAACCCAATAATAAATGTATTAATTCAAAAACAAATGTAATTTGTGTATTGCCTACATTATGACATTATGATAAAGCAGGTACACATTTTCAATGTAAATTTGTTGAAAATGATATATAATGTTTAAGTGTGTAAATATTAAATAATATACCTATACCTATATGTTATTTATTACCAATTAAAATGAAAACCAATAATTATGTGAAAACTTAGTATATATAACACAATCTTTACAATAAATAGTGCATAAGCCCCCTACCCTATACTGAGCCTATGAATGGGAAAAAGAACACAGATTGGGACTTTTTTTGGCCCTACCAAATTTTCAAAGTCCACCAATGGGCCCCCAAAATAAAATTCCTGGCACCGCCACTGCCTCCCGGACAATAAATTTACAACAGAGCGACATCCACTTAAGGTCTTTTTTAAATAGAACCTTTAGAATTTGGTATTTTCCATTTTTGTTAGTTGATAAGGTTGTTTTAATAAAAAATTGGTATAGTTTCCAGGGGCTTTAAGAGGCTAGTCTAATGATGACGGATGAATAGTCCGCGGGGGGGGGGGGGCAAAACTTCCTAAATCGACATAAATTTAGCACTCCCATAAATATAACCCAAATTGTGCCAACATATTTAAAGTTACATTTTTTTAATTCATCGATTCATTAGTAAAATTATTATAAATATTATAAATATATTATATTATTTTATATTTTATTATATATTTTATTATTAATATTATAATTATTATTATATTCAATCTACTCATTAGTAGAGTTGTAATTTCTTAAATAATTACTATCGTTATGTTTTTCAAATTACGATAATGTATGACAACTTTTTCAAAAGATGATAAATACACGAAAAAAAATAATGATAAGTCATGAAACGTTCAAAATATAAAGCAATTATTTATGTAATGATTATGTAATAATTTATGTTTTACAATAGATTTACGAATAAATATTAACATTTACACTTACTTATTTTACCGTGGACTGAATTTGATAGATATTTGAATTGCTGTTAACTCAGCGTAGAGAACGGGCAACGACCACTGGCAACAACTGACTCCAGGCTCCAGGCTTTCACACTGTGTGTTTGTGAATGGCGACGGCGAACGATACGCGACGGCGGTCCAACGAAACGTGCGACACCATTAGTGCACCCTCTATAGTCGGCGGCCGAAAACTCAAAACGTTATGATAAGGTGCCTGGGTATACCTCCTCCATATTTCGTGACGTTCCAATTCGTCAAATTTTACTATTGATGTTTGATACCATATCTACCAAATTGTAACATCCCATGATTCTCTCGTCTGGTAAGGTTATATTGTAACATAATATTTAAATGTAGCCATATGGTTATCAACGAACATAATGACTCCACGAAAAAACAGATACGACATGAAACACGACGGAGGTGTGGTAACCGGTCTTTAAAGGGATAATAATGAATTTAGATATTGAAAATGTTAAATTCTAAATTGTTGTAGCCTATGTGTACTATAACTAAAACCTATTGTCATTGATAACAAACAGTTTATTCAACTGTTATAGTATTTGTCAAATACTGTTATATTTACATACATACAAGTAGGGATGGTGAATTTAAGTAAAAAGTATAGGTAAATTTACCAATAAAGTGATTGTTCGAAAGGTTAGTTTCGTACTCCAGGTAAGGTAAGAATAAAATAACGAATTAATTAATATGGCTTTGATATTTCGCACTTATAAAATACAATTGTAAATACCTGTTAATTGCTTTCCAGAAGTAGACGCCGCCACAGTGTTGATTACAGAATTATCATATAAAAAATAAATGAATAGTAAAAATTACGTCTACATCACACAGAAGTTGGTAATATAAATATTTCCTTAACTGAGACAAACACAATAAAAATACAAATAGTAAAATGATACGACCGCGCGACGATATCAACACCACACAGGTAGGTTATCACAACGTTATTTGGTGGCGGGTGTTGCTTATTTCTTCTGTGACGTCGACGCCCGCTTCACAAGCACACACACCGGCAGTGACGACAATATGACGAATCAGCGGGAGTGGCGACTCTGTGTCCCACACGACAACACGTCACAACGGCGCAGTGCGCCCATAACACAAGCCCAATACGAATTAATGATACTATACTGGTATACAAAAAATTTATGTATACTTGTGTTTCCAGTATATGTTGTACAAAAAACATTCAAGACGATACAGACATTTTTATTATAGAGTTGCAACGACCCTCTCCGATATAAACACGTCGTGTTATATACTTATATACAATGTACCCGGATTCCATTATGTTGTGAAGGTACAAAATAAATTCCAAACCGATGACGACAATATTATTATCATATAATATATTATACCACTTTCTTTGTGACGGTCACAAATCTAGATTGCAGAGGATGACAAAATACCTTGCAGTGTGCAGTGGTTCAGAAAATATTTAATGTAGCCTATATGCAATTATCGAATAAATAAAGACATTTTAATTTTTTTTTGTTCTTTCCGATTATTTTAAAAATAAGTTGGGAATAACAATTAATTTTCAATTGTGTTACCTACTAAAGTCCAGTGTTGGGAATGGATAACTAATATTTAAAGAAAATCGTAGTTTTTCACCGACGAAGAATCAAGATAGTAAGGCATTAAGTTTGCTGTTAAGTGATAATTGAGAACGGTGAGTTCTGATTACTGGGAATAAGGGAATAATATTAATAACTACCACTAATGGCTAATGAGTAATGATCATTATATAGATATTATAAATATAAAATATATAATTATATAATATATATAAATATATTATGCTTGTGTCCATGAATGTTGTTTTATTTTCGCCGGTTCAACACAATGAGTATTGATGATTATTATTTGTTTACATTTTAAAAACAATTATATGAAATGAGTATCAGCTAAGGGCGCGTCCACACCTGAGCACGTTCAAGATGAGAACCGCTCGCTCGCCGATTTTCTTTGAGCATGGCCAGGCGGTCGACAGTCGGTGGCTCGTGCTGAGCATGGATCGCGATCACGTTTGTGCGGTTTGAATCTGCTCACATTATCGTTCACACACAAATTCATCGTAAACAATTTACTGTGAGAATGTATATGCTCACCCTGAATACGCTTAGGCGTGGACGCGCCTTAATGAAGACGACCATCGTCATACGGGCAGCAGGGATAGATGTTTTCGCTTTTACTATTATTAGTTGCTCTCTCAAGTTACTAAGTAACATGACATATTTTAAATTTTATACTTTTAAATCGTTTCAATATTTAGGATCTGAAATTCCAGATTTATAATATACATTCTTATTGAAGTACATGGTATAATAATTCATTTTACCAAACGTTTGTTTCCTGTGTATACTGTATACAAAAAATGACGTAAATATAAATAACATTACAATTTTTTTTTAAAGTTCATGAATAAATTATCTAAATATTTACTCATAGATAACTAGAATTCTATCTAGATAAAGATAAATACAACTTGGCTAAATTTATATAGATAAGATAAAAGATAAATAACTTTTATTTAGATAGCTGATCTAGATATTTTCCAACACTGCTAAAGTCTAACTAGATCTATTTTTTTATCACTATCCAGAAACCAATTACAGTGTTGAAGATTGAAATTTTTTTATATATATCATACATATAAACCCAAAATGGAAAAAAATATTAGAATTTATCAAAAGCAATATAATAATAATGATCATAATATTAATAAATAGGAGCTCATAGTTCAGTTTGTCGGTGCTCTACTAGCTAACCTAGGTACACTATAAAAAAATGCATACACACAAAATACAAATAATAAGAGATGGCACACTAAATTATAATAATATGTGGCGATTAGAGCTCACAATATCTATATATATATATAACAATAAGTAGTGATTTGATCCCAGACAATAATAATAATAAGTGGCGCCAGATGGTTACCTACAACTTTATTATGAAATATAACGAATGTCGTACAGTCTTCATTTCACAGTTCCAATAATAATAATAATAATATTAATGTCTATACTGTAGATACACACTATACATATATATTGTGGCACACAGGAGGCATTGCACGTCAGGAGAAGTATAGACAGGGAAAAATACATTAATAAATTGTGTGACGAATGATCCGAAAAAAAGGACGGTCGTGTAAAATACATTAAAACCGAACATTTCATTCGTTCTGGAATTCCAAAAACCAACATTATAATCGTATTATCACTGCTTGGAGACACAGGCACATCATGACGTCTAACTTGTGTATAATAGTTATTATACTATTGAAATATAATGGCGAATTTTACTTGACATTTTGGATGTTATTTTCGATACTTATTCCAAACATAAATAACATGCCTTTCTTTGTAATATTATTATTGTATCAAAGTAATCCTTAGAGAATAACATAGCAAAAAAAAAGAACGACACGTACCAGGGTTGACCACACACGATTTAAAGGACGCTACACCCGAATGTATGGTTTCCTCCAATAGTTCATATTGTAGTAGAGATATATTAATATGCTTCATCCGGATCTATCAAATTTTAAGTCTAATACTAACGCTCTTGGTAACGGAATTTAAAAAAAATACGTTTGTGTCCAAGGGAGTGTTTTTTAGAGGTAATTTTTGGCACAAGGGGAAATATTTCTTAAGGCCTCATAACATAAATATTAAAAAATATACAAACAAAAGTATGATTTTTTTTAAACCTATATTATTTTTATGCAAACAATTTGCATACAATTTTTTTTAAATGTTGGATCCCATTCTTCTTAATTATTACAAATAAAAATAAATAAATACAGATTCACCAAACTCGATTACAAAATTATGCAAACGATAAGCTTTTGTCGATTTTTCTCTTGGCATATTAATAGAGTGACAAAAATTAAACTCACGAACGTTATATAAAAATAAAACTCAAGGAACACAAGCGGCGAATCTACTAGAACTAATCTAATCTATCCACTGACTATAGATACTTGATACTATCGTTTTTATCCTACGCTCATACTATTCGTTAAATAAGAATACAAAAATAGACATAATAAATACTGACCATTATTATTATTTCAAGATAAAATTTATCTCTATCGTCTTTATAAGTTTATAACAAATTATTGACCTTGATTCAAGGAAAATATTCACCAAAGTGCTCGATTTTCGATAAACCATAAAAATATGCACTAAAAGCTTAAAATATGCTCTTACAAAATATGCCCCTTAAACCAAAAAATGTTCAAATATGCAAAAATATGCACTAAAAACTTTTAGCTTTGGTCACAAACGTTGTGAAAGGTATTGTGTATTTACTCTGCATACGTTTAACTAAATCAGAAAAAACATGCAAATGCATGAAAGTCCTTGCTCTACTTATAACGTAGAATAATAAATAACAGCTCTTAAAGTTTAAATTTCCTATAGCTGCTAACAGTTTTTTTTTATTCAAGTCCAGTTTAAACCATGTAACTTCTTAATTATATATTAAAAAATGAATAACTTAAATTATGAAGTTAAAAAGTTAATTGTAAGTTTCCATATGAATTTTAACTTAACTTAGAAAAAAAATTAGAATAACTATGAACTTTAACATTTTTAAATTTCAACTTCACTTAACTCCACTACAAATTATCTTTAACTTGTCCAGACTTGAATTAATATGTATAGCTATAATTTTTTTGTTTCATAAAAGTTTTTATTCAGTCTGTTTCCAAATAGAACCATATAAACAATTGATGGGATAATTAATAAAAATAAAAATTAATAATTAAATGACAGATGAAAGAGACTGTTGAGGCATCCCATTCGAGGTACTACGAGGGTATTCTTATTACTTATATTAAAATATTTGAATTCTTACATGATAATTCATTCTAACCAAGCTATTTCGTGAAGAGATGGTCTGAATTCAAAGATGCCTCAACATACAACACTAACGAGAAATAGGTCAGTCCTAACCGGTAGGTTGGACTTAAAAACGTTCAAAACGACTGATATACTATATAATATGTATGTTAAAACTACGTATTATTGAATCACACTAAAATAAAACGAAAGTACGATACTGATATATACATAAAAACAATTAGAACTGTTATAATATTAAAGTCTTTTGGCAGGCAAAATTAATTACGTAAAAGGTTTTTTTTAAAGATTCATTTTTAAAAACGCATTATAATATGATATGACGAACAAAACAACTTTTTTCACTATTGTTATTTTATTATTATTACATATTTATAATATTATTTGTATTGCTATAGTTATTTTATTATTTTTTTACCCAAATGAGTAGAATGACAATTTAAAAAAAAATTGTCAAAAATTCTTCATAAATAAGTAATGCACTAACTTTACTATCTTAAAAAAATATTATAGTAATTATTCATGATAAATATAGCACCACAACTATAATCATAATAATTGTTTTTATAATGATAACTAAAAATTGTTTATGTTATGATGTTATAATATTGTTGTTATTATTTGAATTGTCATAATTTATTATTTGAGTTTTAGAGTGTTTAATGAGTATGTGTGTGTTCATAGGCTGGCAAAGAGATATTATGGTTATTTTTATATGCCCACGATAACGGCTCGAACACATTTTTTCAGTCTGGAAAAGCTATTAGTTAACGACCTAATCAATTATTGAATTCGTATGAAATATCTTTAAAAAATATAGGTTGGTACATACTATATTATATGGTACGTTTGGTATATAATATAATATTATTTATAGTCGTTCGTGACTCTGATCATAGCACGATGTATTTTTTTAAATTTTAAGTTAAATTAATAATTAGTTATTGTTATTTGTTGTAGCCAATACAATAATGATAGACTAAAATATGTGCAGGGCAGTGGCACAAGGCGCAACGAGGCAAGCTGTGCCG